AAAGCTTATAAAGTACTTTATAATGATTATTATTGGCAAATAATTGCATATCTTAAAATTTAAAATTTTTGTAAAGTGCCTACATAATATTAAAATTTTAACAAATTTTAATTGATAGTTCTTGAGAAATTACTTAAAAACTATAAACAATTATTTTAAAAAACTATTTATAGTTTTTATTGTAAAAAAAAAAACTCTATATAATAAATCTTGTAGTATTTTGGAATCTAAAAATTTATTACTAAGAATTTTTCTAACTTGTTGAACTATTAAAGCTATTGATCCATTCTTTTTGCCTAGTCTTTTTTCTTGTAAATCTTTCATTTTACTATTTAAAATATCATGCAAATCTAGGAACTGATATTTATCATGTAAATTAAGAACACAAATTGCATCATTTTGCTAATATATCTATTTAACCTATTGATAGCCTGTTTAATAGTCTTTGCCTTATATTCACCTCCATCCTTTTTTGTTATTTGTGCAATAAATTTACATATCTGTTTCTCAATTAGACAAGGATCTTTAATAGTTTCAATTAGTATTGTGTAATTGTAATGTTAGCAAAATTCATCAAACTTCTTTGTTCAGTTTTGTGTTGACTTTACTGTATTTGGAACTACAGCTTTTTTCCTGTAAAAATCCAGTTTTTGCTCTAACTCAGATTTTGGTGCACTATCACTATCTTCAGAAATATTTTTCAGAATATAAGTGCATGCACTAGTAAAAACAAGAACTGGTATATGTTGAATATCTTTTTTTTTTTTTGATTTGGTATTTTTTCATATAAAAAAGTCGAAAAAGTAATCGCGAGCATTAGGATCCAGGGGATAAAACAAATATTTAATGGATTGCTATAAATATCATGCAAAATTATGAACAATCATTTATTATGCATCATCGCGGCTGCACCGCGATGACGCATATAAATGATTGCGTATGATTTTGAATGATATTCACGGCAATCTATTAAATATCTATTACAAACCTAACGATGAAAAAATAATTTATTTTTCATAAGTAAAATTGTGAAACGTTGTACTTTGAAAAAGTACTTTAAACAATATAAATTAGTTACCCCGGCAATTGATTTACATCAGCCAATCAGACGTTTGTCCTCCTATGAGCCCATATCACTAGATCTTATGCATAAATGCGACACAAAGTACATTAAATAAACATAAATAGCAATGAGAATTACACTGCATAAACAAATCAGGCAAGGTTGAATTTTTCAAATTTTCTGCGCAGGCTGCGTAGCCTGCGCATGAAATACGCATAACATTTAGTAGAGATAACTTATAATTCTATTTAAGTTGGCCAGAATTATGCCAGCTAGCCTGAATTTTAAAAATCACACTGCGCAGGCTGCGCAGTGGCCCATCCCTAGGCAAGGAGCACACGTCAAAATCATAAATCCTTAAAGAATTACATTGCAAAAACAAATCAGGCAAAGAAACACGTCAAAATCATAAATCCTTAACTAATTGTACAAAATCTAGGTTTATTTGACCTGTTTCGCATTAAATATACAGGCGTATAACAAAAAATATGCTTCTTTAATAATTAATTTTAAATTTTTAAACAGATAGTATATAGTAAATGTCAATCTTTTGGAATAAATAATTTATAATATTCATAATATCTCTTATTATTATTATCTAAAATTATTATTATCCAATAAATTTATGAAAGGCTTTGGATAATAAATACATTAAGAATAAAATAAACTAAGAATTTATACTCTTTCAAAAAAAAAAAAGAAAAAAAATCACACCTATTCTTTACCAAGAATCTGTCTCAAAGACTTATTATCGAAGAAATATTCATCGGGATCATATTTCGCCCTGATTTTTTCAAATATTTCCAGACGGCTTCCGATGTGTTTACGTACATGTGGAATGATTCCTGGTATGTGCTCCCACAATTTACCCCAATGTGGTTGAGCATCATATTTCTCCATCCATCTTTCAGCTAGTTCAATTGAAAAATCGTGGTAATCTTGTGTACCGTTGACAGACAAAATTTCAAGTAGGCAATAATACGCATTTGGATCTTTATCATATGTAGAAGCAAACAGACTTTGGGATGCCTTGTTGATTCGAAACTCTGCTGCAAGATTTATTGGATACTTTTTATCTGCAGCTAATTCATAAACCTAAAACAAAGAAAAAGTTAGAAATACCTTATAAATGGTTATGAAATTGCATAACTTAAATGTTTTATAATCATTACCCGCTTAATAATATAATTGAATTCGTCGATAACATTTGAAAAATCCTTAATTCGTGTAATATAATAATAATTGTTGGTTTTATGTACACATAATCAAACTCATATTTGCACTTAAAAAGGCTATTTACATCATTGACCTTGAAGGCAAACTCAACGTCCATGCAAGGAATATTATCGATACCTGTCTGTAAAAATTCGAGAAAATTAAAGTATTCCAATTATAAAGAATTTAAAATATTTGAGATACTCACTTGGTAATGAATTGCATCAGGTGCTTGCAAAACCTTTTCACTTTCATGAACTCCAAGATTAAAAAGAAGATTAGTAAAGAACGGAGTAGATTCCGGATTGTTAGCAATGTATTTATAAAGATTATCCGCAAATTTGAGTTCAAAATTTTGGAAGGCCGATATCAATTTCACTTCTATCTGATCCTCTGTAACCTTTGAATTGGTTCTCTTCCAGGTTTTTACCCAAAGCCTGTCATTCTTTTCTTCAAGGCTAGCTGTATTGAATGGCCAATAAAATATTTCAACACTATCAGAATTCAATACATCATTTTTTAGATTTTCCTTTTTCCAATAATCCGAAATGTTTGGAAGGATATCTTTCATTAATAAATTATACATTGGTTCGACTTGAAAAGTGAGCTTATATATAATTCCAAAGAGACCTTTGGCATAAATTCAATGTTAAAACCAGAAATGATAGTATAATTATATAATTGTATGCCTTTTATTAATACAAAAAGAAAAAAAAAAAAATACCAAAATTAATTCTAGCGGCACTCATTTCAATAGGATTTTTCTGATCAGAAAACTCTTCAAGTTCACCATTATATGTTAGAATCTGAAAAGAAATTACTCTATCTGAAATAGTTGAATTTTCGCATCTTGCACCATGGCAACCGGTCGATACAATGCCGGAGGTCGTCGCAGTGTTCAATACAGTTGCAGAATTCATTGCTAATGGAGGGTTATGCTTCCTTAATGCTATGTCGAGATCTTTAAGATATACACCTGCAAATTCAATGATTTGAATTATTAAATACTTAATAACGCATCTATGCTGACCTACAAGTTGCCTTACCTGCTTCAGTGGTTACAGTCCAAGTTTTTAGCTTTTCATTATAATTAATCTCAATATCATTTAAATTTGTAACTATTACCAAATATCCATTAGTAATGCTAAGGCTACTCCAAGTATGACCAGCGGCTGCGCAACGAATTTTCTTTTTATTATTTCTCGCTTTTTTTACAATATGCTTTAAATCATGTAAATTAACAGGTCTGAATATTTCATCAGGTGTACACCTCTGATTTCCATCCCAATTCTGCCATTCTTTTTCTCCAAAATGTTCAATATTGTCTTTGACCTTGGTGATGGCATCTTTAATAGTAAAGTGATGAGACATGTTTGGTAATAGTTACCATGAAGAAAAGCTTAATCTCGAATGTTTACTTATATAATTACTATTGCTATTTTATGTCTTAATTTGGACTAATAATAACTACGAATTCTTCAATTCATATTAAACACCTTTTCTATTTAACTATTTTATTCTTGATTGTCTTTAATTTACAATTCCTTCCAATTTAGGGGATCACTAAAACATTTTAATTAAAATTAGGGTAGATTAGTTTAATGTGGGGTTAGAGTAGATTTATAGGTAAAGTTGACTCTGATATTTTTTAATACCCAAAGGTTTGGTTAGATTGTCTTTTTTTTCATGTAAATGAGATTTCATAATTTTATTGGTTAATATACACACATAGATACAACGTAACCTAGTACATTTTTGAATTATTAGTGTTGGTCAGATAACTAGTAATTTTTTATTTCCTTTTTTCTTTCAATTTTTATTATCATTATTATGTTATTAGTAATCGGAAATTATTTAGTCAATTAGTTAGTACCAGGAACGGAGTACAAAGTACGTAGTGTATGGTTTACAGGCAAGTTAATATGTCTGTACAATTCTCAGCATTTGATTGGTCCGCGTGACTCTGTTCGTCACATATTGTTATGTGTTGTCTATTTTTTACACATTTTTCGCACCTTTTATATGTGCGATAACTTGACTATTGCCTTATTGAGTTAGAATTACCATATATAGAAGGCCATTTACATCTTTTAATCTTGATTATGTAGTATTGAATCTTGTCTGTTCCCGCGACTATTTTCACGGAGCCCGTTACTCTTGCTTAGCACCTTTTTGATCTGTTGACTTTAGTCAACTCGAGTTCTATCCCAGAATGACTATGAATATTATCGTTATGTTAGGTGTATGCTGATCATTTGAGAATATTAATTATTTTGTTCTAACCGAATATATATGTATATCTCGTGCTGAATTTC